TACAGGTGCACGTGCGGCGAATAAACGTAATGCCTCGCTCACGACGTGATTATTTGACTACTTAATTGGGATACAAGTGTGCCCAACCACATAACAAGCTTTCGAATATTTCACAGTTTCATGCAGTCAGACATAAGCGTTTGCCTTCAAATGCGGTGGAAATTTGTTGTGATAACTGATAAAGAGCACTGGACACAGCTGTTTGGTCTTGCGTCAGCCCGAGATCACCAACAGTGCCTGATGCCGGTGAAAAACCAAACGGGTTAATACACACTTTCACCGCCCAAATTACCTTTTGGCTCTTGGAATCAACCAGTAATACATCTATATACATGTAGTTTTGAGCACTATCGAAATGTCGCTCAGACATATCTTCGCTTACCTCCAGTGTGTAGCTGTTCGCGATTCCCTCTCGCCACATCGATATACGTCCCGTGCCTTCCTTTTCCCGTTGCACACCGAATCGACACTTCTCATAGTCGAACTGCATGAGAGGTGTGGTAAAAACTGCAATCAAGGAATCTGTGCTGACGCTTTATTCCGAGTTTGAGCAACAAACAATTTGATTCCGGTGCAAGAAAACCGGAAAATCTACTTTATTTCTCAGTGCAATTGTTAATCACTCTTGTGAATGTTATAGTGTTAATAACACAGCGATGTCGGTAGAGAATTATATTCGCCGACGTTTCGGTTACCGTGGGTAACCTTTCCCAAGGCAGGTTTTACAATCAAAAACCTGCCTTGAGAAAAGTTACCCACGGTAACTGAAACGTCGGCGAATATAATTCTCTACCGACATCGCTGTGTTATTAACACTAAAACATTCACAATAAAACAACACTTGGCGCATCGATTTTTCGATACATTCCTTACATCGTTATTTACTCTTACCCAAACAAGAAGCGTGAAAACCAGTCATAGGTGTTCATGGCCTTCGGTACGGGATAGATAAACAAAACTTCACTCAGAAAATTTGACAACACTGTTACGGTTCCATCGCTATTCGGTCACATATTTCGGTAGGTTTAAATGCGTAATAAGCGTGGCTTCTGAATACTAAATAGTTTCATCAATGGCTTGAGAGAGAGAGATTAAGTGATTCTCATTGGTGATGGCCCGGTGGTAACGTCACTGAATTATCACCCCGGGGGACATCTGTTCGAATCTCTGACTATCCCTATTTTTGTATTGTACGGCAGACCTTCGCTTGACCGCATCACCCTTCCTGAAAGTTGCATCATTATGTATTTACTAAAAGAAGGTAAAAATTAAAGATAAAGTCGATTGGTGATGCTAAAATGAAAAATCGGCAGCTATAAAGCTCCTTGGCTATCGAATGGGTGTTTGCGCAACCTGTCTTTATTTTAATCCCTCACGTGGAGAATGATTGCATCAATCAAAAATAGCTAAAACTCATTTGGACTTGATCAGCCGTCCGGAACAATTTATCAAAAAATTACTGCGTGGTATTTCCCCCACAAGATCCATTAGGCATAATGAAGGTACATGGTTAAATTTTCGAATCAAGTATTCGATCAGAGTCAATTACAATTACGAACCACTAATTTCACTCAGCATTTTCTTAGATATTTTCCTCCGGCACTGCTTGATCGTCTTTCCATGATCATGTATTAAATGAGTTTAAGATAAAAAGAATCTATTTGAAACGATTAACTTTATCAAACACGAAAATTTAGTTGCCGATGTTTGTTCCAAGAGTATAATTGTACAATTAATGTGAATAATTTATGCCAAGAATCAGCGCAACAGTGTCTCCCGTCCCTGCACATAAACACTCTTACACATATACAAACAAACCATCGGTGCAAAAGCGCGTCTAGACGTCGGGACAATTGTGGATTGACCGTTGCCATGGCAAAGTTCTGGTCGTGTGGTTAGCATAGAAACAAGTGAACTGAGAGTTGAAAACCGGTGAGTACAACAGTATGACACGGGACGTCTTAGCACGTCAAGGATTTGTTTAGTAAGAGTTGAGAAATAAATTGCACAATCAGTTTGAAATTTTCTGTTCTCAAAGAAACTGTAATGACCTTGAAAAATACGGAGGGGGGAGATTGCTGGCTGTCACCTGACCAGCAGAGGGTGTTTTGATGTAACTCAAAGTTTTTCTGTCCGGTTGTGAACAATGAATAAAGAGTAGCGTTTTATATTCGCAATGTAAATCTGGTCGTATTGTTTGTTGCCTTTTTTTCATTATTTGAATTTATCGAAACTGGTTTGCTTTTCCGATAGATTTAGATTTTGTGACAAGCAGTTCGAAGCAGAATGCGATGAATGATTCAAACACGAAAAATTGACGGTTTTCGCTCAAGGAGATTGACAGATTTTTTACTTCACTTGACAACTAGTGAATAGCACTTTGGTGGAAGTTTCGGTAAAATCAACTGGACTGTTGCTATAAAAAATAACTAATTATACGAGACAGTGAAATCGGCTGAACCGATGGGGACCATGGTAAAGAAGATACTTCGGCATTCTATGGGCCATACTGTCAGTGGTCGCACCAGATTAGACTGTTTGCACAATACGAGTTTCATCATTCCTATTTGCTTGGATTCAGCCGTAGAAAGAGACGTCTCATGTAGTTATTCGGTTTAAAGCAAAGAGATTTTCAAAATCGCTCAGAACACGTACTCTGAATCCGCTCTGTGTCCACCATGGTTCAGATGTGGCCGAATCGCACAGTTAGTATATTCTGAACTGTGACATTTCGGCGAAACATTCCGAACGGCGACAGTATGCGTCTTTTATGTTTAACCCACAGTTGAAAAAGCGTGGATACAGCGAATGCATTCACGGCAATCCTGTAAAGTAATTTGGTTCCATGAACAAACATCATGCCTGTTAGGTAACTAAGCAAAAAATGACACTCGACAAGTTTATTTATTAAGCGTATCCCAAGGTTCGACAACATCGTCATCGTTTCACAGAATATACAGTTAGGGTATTTCTATGATGGCCCTGAGAAAACTAGTGGATGAGCGAACAAAATTATTCACAGTTATTCCTAGTCCTGCTCTCACACATCAACGAAACATTCATATGTGCACCACACAAGTGAAAGATAGACGGCCGAAACTAACCTCATCCATGATAATAGATTCTCTGAAGTGCGTCTGTGACTCATATTACATAGATCGTAAGGTAGAGCGTTGAACTGAACGCGTTGAAGAGCGGTGGTTAAGTCAGGAAAACATCGACTGTATCTCAAGTGCGATGGTGGGTCATCTCACAGACACCGATCACAAGATTGCACCAGGGAAAGCTTCCGATGTTTTTTATCGCATCCCACTCAATCGATCGAGTTTGGAAACTGACCATGGCAGAAGCGATTGTCATTCGCTTACTATGCCCAAAATCGCCTGGTTGAAGCGCTTCAATTACCTTGGCTTATTGTGTAAACTAAGACAAAACATGACGCATCCTTTGACCCAATTGGCGAAAGATCGCTTCAACTTACGCATTCATGTTTCCTCCATGCACACGCACACACACTCACATAAGCGCACATCCTCCACCGTCTGTCTCCGATTAATGACCTCAAATTGAGACAACGGCTACTATTATGTAGGCATTCTTCCACCATACGTTGCTTAACAGCAGGGCCAGGAATATCTGAACGCAATTGTTCGCTTACAGACTTTTTTGATTAGTGGTTTTGTGGTAAACAATTTAGCACATATTCAGCGGGTGTTATTTTCTCGTTTCCTGGTCATTAGATCATATTACTTTGATGCAATCATATTTCCCTAAGATTTTTTCGACCCGTGAAACGGGTGAATCCTCGCTTACTGATGAAATGCAAGTCTCTATCAGGTGCGCACTTTGCTACCACGCCAAACTAGTTTTCAGATAAAACTTCATCTTACCAGTCACCTCAATCTACACATTAATGCAGCTAAACTTGTAAAGTCCGAGGAAATTTGCTGGTGACTTCGTCCAGTTTAGTTTTTTGCAAGCCAGCATTGGATCCGAGATCACGTGGACCGAGTATATGCAAATCGGTCCCGGAGAACTGTTCCCACATGCGTGGTGGTGGTGGGGCAAATTTCTGACCAGTTTACCCGAACGCGATCTTGTTCGGTCAGATAAAAGTACACGCGCGTCGCGTGTTTGTTCAACTGAACGGGATTGGTCACAAAACCGGTACAATGGAGCAGTGATTCTATAATGTGAATTTATCAAGTTCACACTTCACACATTCGTAAACAGCGCAAGCATTATCGGACATAGTGATTCTCTTCGAATGGATGTCGAAGCATCCATAGTGCAATGCAACAGTAAAGTGTGAGTTAGGAAGTAAAAAATGCCAACACCGATAAGACGTGATTGAACACTGTGCGCGCGAGTTTTCATCCAAATGCCTCTTCCCCAACCGTGCACTTTTGTGACAAGTCTTTCACAGACAGCTCCTATTTCGAAAGTTCCCTCGAAATGCCCTTATCACTCAGGCCGTACTGGAATGGACATCCCATTCAGGAGGTCTCCTCATCGTTCTACTACACAACCACATATGGGTGGCTCACATGTACCAGCTATTCACCAAATAGGGTTGTAACCGTGGGATGAAAACAATAATCATATAACGAAAAGCATCTTTGACGAAGGCAATAATAAAAGCCAAATTTATGAATAATCTGAGTACGCTAGACAACTGACTGGAAAACAAAGCTGTTGTCAAACGACCACCCATGGGTACTTGCACTGAGGGAACGCAGAAAAGAACATCGTAGAACGAATCACAAATCAGGATAGCTAATTGAGTGGAATATAAAATAACTCTTAAGTTAGGTCCAAAGACTACTACAACTATAGACATATCACAGACTTTGACATCAGTGGTTGTGAATCACTGATGATGTCACCTCGGCTGGTGATGAAACGTTTGCAAACAAATTGTCAAGTTCGGTGAACAGGCGAAATGGAATACCCCAGACTTAGGTGATACGGGCATTTGTCCGTTATTATTATTATTATGGAAAGTGGCATAAATCAGTGGTTGTCTTCCCAGACATTGACTGAATCGAACCACTTAATCCTAATGACGCCGATGAGAGTAAGATCCCGGTACCTGGAGATTTTAAACATAAAATTCACTAGAGATATGTACTCAGCGGGGGAAACATAGCTTCCAGTTGGATTTTCAGTCACCCTTTGTGCCAAAAGAGTTATCAATTTTTGAGACTTTTATCTTTTTAGTGTAAAGATTTGGGAGTTTGGGAATGGTGATGAAATCTGCATTGTTCGTGTAAAATCAAGTCTGTTCCATTTTTATTGGAGATCTTCAACGGTACTTTTCACCCATTCCATTGGTTTTTCTCTCTTGTCTCATTTTCTGGGTGTCGTTGGGAGTTTATTCCCATAGACAATTTCTACATGTTGAATCAGGACTGTGTTTGCTGTACTCGTTCAGTTGCTAACTCCACACAAAAGGTTTCTTTTCTTTAGTCTCTGTTATATAATAATCAA